ATCAGGCCGATTGACGGTTACCTTTAACTATCAATGGGCCGATCGTGCCGATTGACGTTGCCTTAAACTGCTTAAAGGCCGATTTAGGGGTTCTTTAACTGCCAATGGGCCGATATGGCCGATGATTAAGGTTAATTCTAATATGACGTGCTTCTTTCGCTTTGTAAACCACACCGTGATAAAGTTCTCGATATATCTATACTTAGCGCAGACTCAGAGATGTGCATATTGGTGGCTGTTACTATTTACCTCCCACGTAAATCCACATGTATCGTAACCTATGTGCAAACACTATGTCGATTTCGTTGTGTCCAAATTGAAATTGAAAAAGAAACTACAGAACCGTTATTCCTATTATATTGCATAACAAAAATAATTAATGCACAAGAGCTTAAAAAATGTATAAAATATAAATAAAATAAAATTCCGCCAAATTTCATGAATGATCTTGGCGCATTAACGTCATGTCATAACATGACGTCATACGAATGAAAAATCTAAAGCTGAATGTTTTCCGTTACGTATACTCCCTAAGTTCGGATAATATTGCATTAAAATGGAGTTTTGAGGTAGGTGTTGTTTCATTTTCTATTCCATTGCATTATTCGCACATTTGTGGATTTCAGCAAGTCAACATGGCGGCTCACTCCCTAGTTACGACATGTCAACTCTGGATTTGACAGTAAATAGTAGCCAACGAAAAATAAATGTTTGGGTTAAGAACTATGAGAATTGAACACATTTTTTCTACTGCTTATTTGAGAAATAATTCATGTAAGACTTAGATTTATATGAAATTTGTAGCTTTTATCTTACAGGGGGTAAAATAGAACAGCCATACACACAGCAATCTTACGTTCGCTTCAGTTTTTAAATTATCGTATTTGTCCTATTAGAATCGAAATAATTCATGGCAGCCATAGATTTGTTGGACATTTACACATGGCCTGGGCCGTGATATTCGTTAATTTTATCCCTCGCTAACGCTCAGGATAAAATTCGAATATCACGGCCCCGGCCATGTGTAAATGTCCAACAAATCTATGGCTTCCATGAATTATTTCTTAAATATAATAAACATTGATTTCAGCTACGAAAGCATAATATACTGACGTTCTGTCAATGTTCTTTCATATTCTCTTTTCATTTTTCCTTTTTTCGTGACGTCATTTAGCCATGCAATTCTATGACGTTACGAAGGCTTCCATATATGTCTATCATATTTTAAAAATTTTGTTTCATTATGTTGAACGTAAATTATGCCGTTGGTTTTGGGGTTGTTCTTTTTTGTTTGTTGTTGTTTGAAATGTTTCACGTTTTGTCATTTCGGGACCCTTTATAACTTACTGTACGATATGGGTTTTGTTCATTGTTGAATTCCGCGTACGGTAGTTTACGGTTTCTTTACTGTTGATAATTTCAATATAAAGGCAAATTAAGTTGACCGTAGACATGGTATATGGGTTTGCCTCAGTTTCATCTTTTATCTTTTGGTCATAGAGGTCTCTACATGTTTCTCTTCCTATACATCCTTGGCTTTTAACATTTTGGTTTTGATCATTCCTGATGAAGGTTAATCCCGAAAAGCGCTGCAGAAGCATAAAATTTATCAAGTGTTAATCTAAATAGGCATATTTATGAATTATGATTTAAAAGAACACAATTTTCTGTCTTATTTTTTCTTCGAGTTACGCAGTATTGAAAAAGACATTTTAAACATATATTCTGGAAGTATATCATTCCTTTGTGTAACAAAAGTTTCGTTTGCATCTCGATTCAAGATTTAGACAGCTGTGAACAAATTGTTTTGTCGTTTCATTGATCCTAAAAGAGAGGTTTGTGAGACGAAACTTCGGTCACATCTGTTTAAAACCGGACTGCGATTTATGCAGGATATTGTTGAGAATGTGTCTGTTATCGAAAGAGAGCAACCACGACGCCTAAGACGACAGTAGTGCATACGGTCTGTAGCTATCTTGAATGAGCAAAGTTTAGGACTGTTGTGTATTTTCTAAACGCGGACACGGTGGTACATGTCAATAATAATCTTTGCGACAAGGCCTTCAGAAGGGCTGCATTTGTTTCCATGAAAACTGTAGAGGATTTTTTATTATTCCCTTCGAACGTGTCCTTATTCAAAAAAAAAAATCATAATTAAATTTGACCAGATAATTCTTTAACGCAAAAAATGCGTAATTGGACGATATTTCTTATATCTATTTGTTGGTATTAAACGCAACATTCAGCACTCTTCTCTATTTCGTGGTGGTCATATGTTATTAGTACAAGAAGCCACAGTATCCGCAGAAAAAGCACCGACTTCGGCTGAAAAAAAAAAATGGCTATCCAAGTCAATCAAGTGCGGAGTCGAAATTAGCAACTATAAGCGAGATATCACGGATTTTGAAGAAATTTTGTACGCATTTATATGATTCGTTGGAATCATCTGAATATTAAAAAAAAAATATAAATATGAAGATTTTATACTTCCAAAAATACTGTCGATTACGTGAAAAGGGTCTATAAATGTAAAGAATGTATGTAAAACGCGACAGAGAATGCTTTTTCCCACTTTAAATTTGGACATTTCCATTTCAACTATAAGAAATATTAAAGGGTCAATGGATTCGTGTTTGCTGTCTTAATCATTAATGTATAGTATGAGTGATGTATGATGATATGAAAAAATACGATTTCACGACGTTACGATTATCTTGTCAAGTTGTTTTGTTTTGGTTTTTTTTTTATCTTTTTCACGCTACAAAAGTGAGACTAATTAATTTCTACTGAAAAAAAAAACGAATCTGGTGAACCCTTTACATTTTCACACCATTTAAACGTAAATGTTTATAGCAATAACACAAAAAAGTTTCCGAATCCAAATTCTGTGGACGGATTTCGTAGAAGACATGAAAAGTAAATGCATATCGCTTTCAAAACAAATATTCGTAAGCGTAACATTTCACACATATTCATGATATTGTATGTTTCAAGATCTAATTTACTTTAGAATCACAATTAAGTAGCTTGTTGGTTAGAATATGCTAAACAAAATACATAAACTCAGTATATTTTGAACTTAATTAATTGAACATAGCGGTTGTGTGTGGAATAACGTTTATGTTGGTACAACAATGCATGGTTTTCAAAGGCATTCGTCGACGTTGTAGTAAAATTTAGCAACGCCATATATAGACGTAACGTTATTTTGGATTTTGAAAAATTTTGGCAGCGAAAAGGTTATCCTGGTTCCCGGGACAATGTTCCAGGTATTCTTCTTCTTCTATATGTATGTCCTTCCAATATGGAACACCTCCTCAACGGATATTATCCAGGTGGGGAGTTAATTAAAACTTAAATAGTATGCACTAAAAGTTTTCCACAAATAACTAAAAAAATAATTTTTGATTCACTGTACACGGATAAAATCTAATATATTTAAGGACTGATAAAAAAAAATACGCAATTAAAAGGTAAAAATATCTAGGCCTTGTCAATATGTATTTTAAGATTTACTGTACACAACTAAAATGTAAAAAATATAGGGTGCTTTATACAATGGAAAGCAGGAATTAGCTGAATGATAGCCATACACTATCACTATTTGTATTTGTGTAACATACTGAATATTGCGATCGGGAACCAGTCTACGAAAGGGTTAATTTGCATTTTGGCCTGGGAATATTATATATCCAGATACTATAAGTTTTATGGTTTGCTACTGACTCCCTACGAATCCATAGAGGGTTAGTGAAATCCATAGGGGTGAAGCCGAAGGCCGACTGATTCACTATGTATTTTACTAACCTCTATGGATCCGTAGGGGGTCAGTAGTGAACGTATAACGATTTTATCGAACACGGGTCACCAAGTTATGTATAAAAATAAACAATGAAACGCAATAACATTAATAAATGACGTCACGATTAATAGAACCCCATATGAAATCTACGGACCCCATACGGATTCACAGGGGGTCAGAAGCAACCCATTTTTTTTAAATCCTGGTACCACCACTGTCATAACTGTATTGACCCTAAATCACAACTTGAATTTGATAATATTAATAGATATTAATAAAGTTTGAGAAAGTAATATTGAGAATGGATTTTCATTTTTGATTAGATTGTTGAAACTATACAATACGAAATATTTTATTAAAGAAAGCTCAATTATGAACATAAGTCAATAATAGCATAGATAACAATGAATAACATTTAAACAAGTATCAAAATAGTGTGTGTTCCAAGGGGAGTAACTCTAGTATTATATATAGAAATAATAAAAAAAAAATAACATAACTTAATTTTTGCATGTCAGATATAATGAAATTACACGAGGGATACATTTATAAGCTTTCAAATGGATGGGGTTTCATGCTATTAATAATGCATTGTGTGACGTCACAATTTCCATTGAAAAAGCATGCATAAATACAACACAAACAACATTCTCCAAAAGACCAAATGAGTGAAAAAGTATATTTTAACAAAACGCATTTGACTAGCAGGTCGAACAACTGGTGTTCTTAAACCCTGCTGACTGCCATTGGCGATTGCCAAATAAACGGATCACAAGATGTAACAAAATAGATCTTATTATTAATTTATTACCAAACAGAAAACAATAAACTTGCGGAGAAGCAAACATGATGTGCAAAAATTTGTACACCATATTCGGATTTCGACAATTAATGTGATGTTAGGAATCGAAACGGTATTTGGAAGGCCATATAATTTACCTCAATTTAGGATAAACTCTTGAATTTTGAAAGAGTCAAAATTATACAGATACAGTTCCAGCCGGTGATTGTTCTCGGGAAGAAAGATTCTGATAATATTATTATATTAAAGACTAAGTTATCGATTATTTTTATTTATCAGGCTTTTTTTTCCTTGAAGAAGAAAGGTGACGACAGAAACAAATGCCTCTGCACAAATTTTTTTGGAAATTTTAAATAATTCCGCCAAATATTATTTGATCACATGATATCCATGTGATCTATAATAGCATGGCAGCCTCCATGAGTGTTGCCAACGCCGCAGCTAACGGCGATTTAACGGTAATTTCCAGCATAAAGAACCAAATTCATATTGATTATTGTCACAATTACAAATTAATTAATAATGATTATTTGTTTCACCTCAAAGTGGATAATCCTGAAGTATTGACTAAAGAGAACCGAAGGTGGTTGTCAATGTTAATTTTAGTCAGTTCAAAAATATTTAAAGTCATGGAATGGAAATGACTGTAAGTGCACAGTTTGTGCAGATTTTTAGTTAATATATTATGCTAAAATTATTTACCATTTAGATCATACCCCCTTTTTTCTTTAAAACATTTTATGCTATGCATTTTACCAGCTTTTATGCCTAGTTTACACTTATATGTTTTTAGCTTTAATACCTAGCTTATGCTTATATTCTGCTTATTACCATCATGCTTTTTAGTGCTTCTTTTTGTGCTGTGTAATTTATTGCATGTGTATTATGTGTTGTATTGTTATATGTTGTATTGTTATGAATGTCTTGTATGTCGGTTAAAAGCTCATTAGAGCTTATGTTTGTCTTTGTTTGTATAACTTGCCGACTCTAAATAAAGCTTATTTATTTATTTATTATAATGTAAACCACTAAAAATTCAAAATCCGCAAGGCAAAAAGCTTCCGCATTCGGGACATTTCGGCCACAGTACCAATTCGGCAATAGTCGATTCGGCCACACAATTTAATAATGTTTTTAACACACATATACGTATGTTTTTTGACAGAAGTTTGTTTTGAAAGTGTGCACCTGCTGTGAAAAAACGAGAATACAAGACTTTCTTGTGTTAATTACACTTGGTTAAGACAATAGTAATGTTTCCCTCGACTCTGCTTGATAAAAAAATGTAAGAGTCAAATATTTGTTCTGCCTCAGATCTGGGTCCCATAGGCCATACACCTTATCGCTATTTGTCCGCCATTGCTGGCCATCACAAAGGTTCCCGTAAAATTTGGACGTAACAATAGAAAATGTCTGATGCTACAAAGGAAAAGTGAGTGTTGTATGACGTCAATAGTTTAAGTGTTGCAAATTCTCAGGTCAAGTGTAGCAGATTCCCAAATAGTGATAAGGTCTATGACATCATGACACTCAAATTGTGGCCCTATGATTATACACCTTATTGCTATTTGTCCGCCATTACTGGACATCACAAAGATTCCCGTAAAATTTTGACGTCACAATAGAAAATATCTGACAGCACAATGGAAAAGTAATTGTTGTATGACGTCAATAGTTCAAGAGGGGCAAATTCTCAGGTCAAGCGGCGCAGATTTCCAAATAGTGATAAGGTCTATTCAGATTTGTGTCATGTTTATAACTGAATTCAGGTCCATTTGCCACAAATCATGTAAGCTCCCGTTCATATTTACCCCTTTTCATGATCACACCATTTTAAAGGTTTTGTGTTGAATATTTTTTTAAACATTAGACCGTTGGTTTTCCCGTTTGAATCAGGTTTTACACTAGTAATTTTTGGGGCCCTTTATAGCTTGCTGTTCGGTGTGAGCCAAGGCTCCGTGTTGAAGACCGTACTTTGACCTATAATGGTTTACTTTTATAAATTTTGACTTGGATGGAGAGTTGTCTCATTGGCATTCATACCACATCTTCTTATATCTATTTAGTCTGTAATCATGGTAATTCAGTGGTTGTCTTTGTTGCTATATATCATTTGCTTTTGTTCATTGTTTTGTAAATTAATCAGGCTGTTAGTCGACTCATTTACATAGTTTTATATTTGTCGTTTCATGGCCTTTTATAGCTGACTCTGCGTTATGGGTTTTGCTCATTGTTGAAGGTCATACGGTGACATATAGTTGTTAACTTCTATGTCATTTGGTCTCTGGTGGAGAGTTGTCTCATTTGCAATCATACCACATCTTCTTATTTTTATATTTAGTTAGTGTACACTGTATATTGCTATATATAACGTGTATAATAAAATAAAAATAAGGTTATTTTTATTGTTTTAAAATAACATGACATTCCAACAATGTAAAACAGCTTTCCTTTAGTGTTTTGTGAAATTTTATATTTTGAAGAAAAGATTAATGAATATTGTCATGTTGATCAAAGGCCAAGTTAATTCAAATAAGTCTTGTAAAAGAAAGGAGGCCAAATTCCTCCATATAAGACCTGTAAAAGAAAGGCAAAAGATACCAAACATCTATCAAACTCCTCACAATGACAACAAATAACACAAAACCAGGCTATAAAGCACATATATATATTTATTAGGTGTTGTATTTCTGCTATAGATACATTCCTACGTACAGAGCATTTATTTCTATGTTCAAAGAAGCTTGAAGGTACCAACATGTAATCATGCTAAATTAGTGTTGTATTACAGCTAATTCACAAATTTTTATTCATGAAAATATAAATATTCTGAAATATTCATTTAAAAAACATTTAATAATTCAACCTGTATTTGAATAAAAATAAGGTACAGTTGTATAACAGCACAACATACATGTAATAACTAACTGTAAAAATTAGATAGAAAGGGCTTGACTCATCAGATCAGCACAAAGTGCATAATTCAACTAACCAACAAACAAAAAAAAAGAGGCAGAAATCACAAATCTGTTTTATCATTTGGCCTTCAAGACTTGTTTACTTATTTGATGAACCCCATAAAAGTGTTTATGACTAATGACTAATGTGTCTATATTGGGAAAATAAAAAAGGTTTAATATTATGACTGTTTTCAGTAGTTAACTATTTCTTTGATTTAAAAATAATTCTAAAAAACTCGATAATCATGATAATAAGACTTATTTTAATAAATGAAAGATTTAAAGTATACATTTGTTTTTTTTTTTGTTTTTTTTTGTTTTTAATCATGTTAAAATATAGAGAGATTGAACATCCACTTCCCTTCCTTAAGCAAGTACTCCAGACAAAAAATCGACCAAAGTAACTTCTAGCATATCCCTATTTTTTACTCTTCTGTCCTCATCTTTTCCCTATTCCCACTTATCAGTCAGGGGACTTACTTAAATGAGTGATTTTCTAAATCACTGATTCAAGTAACATTATGTCCATAAAGGTTGGAAGTAAGAGTTGTCTTTCTTTAATAATCACCTATTTAAGTAGTACAAATTAATCACTAGACTAAGTGATTTAATTTTATTGTAGCTTTAAATATAGAATACTAATGATCCAGGGACTAATTATGTTGCTAAAATTATCAGAACCAACATCTGTGTTGATAGGATGACTGGGTCATGTCAGGTGATGACCTTGTTCTAAATCTAGGATAATGACATAAAAATCACTTGTTTAAGAATCATACCTCAATTTCCTTCCAAAAAATCACTTCTTTAAGTATCATTATTTTAATAACCCCCACTAATTTCAACACCCCCGAACAGTGAAATTTTGATCGCGAACAGTAGAATTTTATTACAGAATCTATAAGATGAAACCTTGAATTTTACAGGAAAAATACTCCCACTGCTGGGAAAAATCTGTTTAGAAAGTATCAGTTCATTATGTAAAGCCATTTTTATAGTGTTTTTTCAACTTAAATAGAATTTGCAGCTAAATGATTGCACCAAAGGCATAAACCTTGCTGCTTAAAAGAAGCAAAAAGTTCATTTTTTTCAATTTTACTAATGAAAAGATATTATCTAAACCTATGTGTTTAAAATTTTGGTAAAACTACAAAATCACAATTTGTGACAAAACTTCGAATTTGCTACTTAAATAAGTGATTTAAAAATCACTTATTTCAATAAGTCCCCTGACTGCTTATGAACCCCTTTGTATATATAGTTAACTCTTCAATGGCCTTAAGTTGGTGTGAGGTTAATTCGAATATGAAACCATAAACAACAAAAATATTTCCTCAGTGACTGCATATGATACTTATACATCTGCTGTGTTGCTTTCATTCTAACAGATTTATTGATATTGTCATGATTGTGTAGAGTTTGTTAAGATTGAGAAGGAGCTTGTATCATGTGTATATATAATTGTTATAAGAATATATTCACCATCTGCAAGTTTGTATCTGTTGAACTCGGCTCTGCATGGTCCTGTTGTTTTATTGTAAGTTATTTTGTTTGGTATTTCATCAACGATTACTTAGCAAAAGCATAATTAATACTTAGGTACTTCATATCTGAGAAACAGGCAATATATGTCCTCATTTTAGAATTCATTCATACATTTTTGTATTATTCAAAATTATCAGTCAATATGTGTTCTACAAGGATCACCAGTCATTCACCTTTCATCTGATACCTTAATTACTAAAATATATTCTGCATAGCTTTATATTTACACCTATGCATAGGAACTATTTTGTTTTAAATATGTACCACTTTCCAAATGTTCTTTTTTGACTGGGCCCGATTTGGCATGTTTGGTGGTGTTAGATCTTACAAAGTCTATCCAACTTATTTTTGCAAAGAATTCCTCTCAAGCTGATGTTAGGGGCCTTCGTAAACTTGCAGTGAGGTGAGAGTTTTTTTGCTCTGTGTTGAAAGGCAATGAAAGCCTCACTGTGACTTTGAGATGAAGAGCAGCAATAAAAGTGCTGTTCCTTCGCTTTTTGTGTGTTTTTGCTGTGCATGTAGTGATTTTGTGTCATGGATGGATACCCCATATCCTTTGTTTTTCTATTAGATACATGCATATCAAAGAAATTATAATTAACATACAGGAGTTTTAAAAGATAATTTTGTGACAGCATGAGTGTTATTTTGATAACCCTGATGGACAGTGGTGGTCTATGTTGGCAGGCCTTAATTGCATAAATACACCAACTATCACAAAGTGAACCCTTTGACTGGGATGATTTAATAAGTAATGTTGTGTCTTAAGCTGTATTTATCTCTTACGTTTTGCTAGGAATTTTAGAAAAATTTTCAGAACCGCATTTTCTAACGTCAGATCTGTCATTATGACATGTATGACTTTAAATTGTTTATTCCTTTGAAATTTAATTATAAAAGGATCCAAAAATATTTGTTTAATTATATATAATTCATGTAGTACCAAGGAATTATTCTTTACTTTGTGTTGAAAACTTTCCTCGTCATTTGTCTTACCAGGGACACATATGTTACTACTGTTGTCTGCCAAACAATGGACTTTGACCTATAATTGTTTACTTTTTGGAAAATGACGCTATCAGCGGCATGTTTCCGATACCATTGACCAGAACTAACGGAAGTTGATTATGCCTCCGCCTACCGCACTCGGTTTCATATTTACTATTTTACATACTATTACTAACTGTCTTCTGCTTGTATTACGCTACACTCGAACAAAGTGTTGTAGTCGGACGGGAACCAGTTAACATACGTTATTTTATTTACCAAAAAGATATCTTGACCTGTCCACATGTTTTTTGTTATTAAATGGTATTTGGAGCTATCCCTTTGTTATATTTTTCATATTTATTCGAGCTTTCACTTTATGCACATGTCATACAATCGTAAACAATCGGTATGTTTACATGATAAATAGATCCGTTTTGTTATGGTGTTGGACTTTTTACCCTCCAATGATCAGCAATCGCTAGACAAAATAGTTCTCCTAAATAATGTCAGCCTTTCATGCCACTTCAACTTTACAATCATTAAAAAAGTAATAATCGGAATCATTTTGATATCCATTGGATAGAAACTGGTCTTTATCCAGATTTACGAAGATTTTAATAATCGGAAATTAGTAATACGGTTATACCCACGCGGTGCGTATGAATCTTTGTTTACAAAGTTATAGCAGCAGAGTCTGTAACTGTATCATTATTAATTAACTACACTGTTATTGTACTTAATATGATGAAAACTGCATATGCAATATAAGATGTCAACTCGGCCAATACAGATTTTTTTTCCGTATTGGCCGAGTTCTGATCCGGCCAAAACAGGATTTCGGAACGTCTCTAGTTTTTAGATCGTAAGTCAAGATACACTCAAACTGAAAGTAAACAGTTGTTTGTACGACGCAGTTTTTATTTACTCACCATAAACAAGCTGAAACGTTCAGTATGGCATATATTTTAGGTTAAAGACGGTCCCATTCATTTGAAAAGCATTTTGAAAGTAGACGATGGAATTATTTCAGGTTTGGGGAACGAGTAAATTATCACAAAGTTCATTTCTTGACGACCTCATAATTTCATCATGTCGATGGTACAAATCGATTTTTACTGTTTACTTTCGCCTCTCATGTTTTGTAAACGGTCTTTTATTTTTAAACCCGAACCAGGCATATGCATTCTGTAATTGCGCAAATCTTCGTTCTTTGGTCAATTGGCTTATGGATAGTTGTATCAATTTCAACTCTTACATTATTTTTTTTTAAATATATTTGCATTACACATGCAATGGCAGTACCTTTCCAATTACTATTTATGTGTTGTGTCTAAATTAAAGTTGTAACACTTTAGAGTGACTGGAAAGGGTAGAAAAATTCATCAGATGAGAACAGGCTGAAGATACATGGAAACGGCACCAAATCATTAGATATTGCATCTTATAAAAGAAACTGAGATTTGGATAGTTCCACTTCAAGGTAAAAATGTTTATCTCTTGTGAAATGAAATAAAAAAATATTGTAACACTGTAGTTAATTAATAAAGATACTATTACATGTATTTCTGTATTGGCCTTATTGTTGGTCCTCGGCCAGCAGTACACCAAGACATGGACCAATAACAAGGACAATACAGAAATACTTACACAATAATATTATAGAATGACAGTATGGTTCAAAAGCGGGAATCAGCCCTTCAACTACTTTTTACATAAATATTAACTTCTGGCTTCAACTCCTTGTTCGTCTTGTCTGGAGATCTTGTTGTAGTTCCAGTTAGGCAAGCATTTTAGAGACGTATCCCGTCCATCCTCTCTTGACTTGTAATTTCTGGTGATAGATTTTGCCGCTTGACGTTGTATCCTTTCAAGCTTGTTTTTTTTTGTTAGGGGTCCCATACTATGGCTGCATATTAAATTGTAAGATCCATTCCTAAAGGTCTAGATCATTGTTCTAATCTGACACAAATTTCAATAACTGGAATGCTACCCAAGTTGAATATATGGTGACTTACTAGAACAGCATTATCACTATTGAAATTGTGTTTAATACCATGATTGTTCAATGTCATTAACTTAAATGGAGACAGACATTTGACCTGAAAGGTGGTGTGGGAGTGCAAAATCAAAAACTAACTGACTATGATATATGGTTAAAGAATGAATATCAATTACATGGGTCAACATGGTCAAGGGCAGAGTTGTTATGAAATAACAATATGGCAGAGAAGTGGTTTCAAGTTTCATGTAAAGCGACCTGACTGACATGAAATAAAAAATCAAAGGAGTATCCCTATTTGTCTAATCTTCAAGGTGAAATAAAACTAGTAAAACAATATTATACTATTGTCTAAATCTACAGAAATATAATTTGCTTCAAGTAACAGAAATAACTAGGTCACTAGTAACTTATTTAATGAGTATATGTATGTGGGGTATAAGAGCTTGATAACAACAGGCTCTTCATAATCATTTGGTTTGAAAAGGATACTAGAAGTCTATATTCTTGATTTAGAAAAATGTAATTGCAAGACAAAAATCACATTATTTAGAATACTTTAGATCATTCAGGTAGTCTTTATTTATATGTACAAAAGAACAACCAGTAGTCATTGGATATTGTAGATCATTCAAATAATCTTGACCTATTTATTAGTACAAAAGAACAGCCAGTAGTCATTGGATACTGTAGATCATTCAGGTAGTCTTGACCTATACATTTGTACTAAAAAACAGCCAGTTGTCATCTTCACATAACACACACATATACGAATATCAATTATATGCTTACGAGACATGTTGGAATGTTGAACTAATTACGGTATGTGAAAATCAAGACTTGCATAAAAAATATCACAATATTAGAGACAGTGGCGTCATTTTTCCTCAGAGCTTTCAGCTCTTTGATTATACATTCTGACTTGGATGGAGAGTTGTCTCATTGGCACTCATACCACATCTTTTTATTTATAAGGGATCTTCAATGTGCTTTTCTCTTAAGTTCTTTTTCAAAAAGGAATTAGATTTTATCTTTTGGATTAATTATAATTAGAATGTAAGAATCTCATGCATAACATTTGAGAGTAGGTAGTACCACTCCTGAATCTGAATATTTCTTATCAAGCCCTATATGTATCTCAGATTCCAAGACTTTGTTCTTAACCTAGTCTATTTGATTACTGGTATTTTCAATGTTTTTGAAGAGACAGCTATCTTGGTATGATTGTCAATCAACTATCCAACAGAGACTAAATGACATATAGATGTTAGCAACTATAGATTACCTTACGGCCTTCATCAGTGAGCAAAACACATACAACATAGCAAGCTATAAAAGACCCTGACCTAACAAAATGTAAAACAATTAATTTGCCTACAATAAACTTGTAAGTAAATGCTTGTTTATAATCTTGTATTATCTGTTTCAGTATGCTCGACAATGTGTAGAAAATGGTGGAAAAGTAAATGAATACTCAAGAGATGGCATGACACCATTAGCTGTAGCCTCTTTCTGGGGATATGCTGACATTGCAGAATTCTTACTGGAAGTAGGGTAGGTTTTATCTCCATCTAAATGAACCAAAAGACAGACAGACATTGTCCTTCCACATGATCAGAGTCTGGAATTATAGATCTATGGTACCTGTTTAACTACTACAACATAAATGTGTACACTCAATTTATTTTCTCCATATCCAAAAATTCTTGAATTGCATGCCTCTTATCTTTAATGTTTTATAATAAAGTTTTATATTCAGTTAATAGCCTAGGTTATATCATGGAAATGTGCTGACCTTGAGTAAGCAGGTCCTGTAACTAGCATGTTGAAAATTTGACCCAGTGTGTCATTCTAGAACAAAACATGGATCATATTCATTTCACTATGTTAATTTCTTCACCTGATATGCATGTTATATTTGTCACTAAACCTTAAAGACGAATTATCCATCCATCCATATACATGTATATCAATGATGTATAGATGTATAGATATATATATATATTAAGTTGTGTGCATGAAGCCATATTGACAAACATCATTGTAAAAATATTCAACCATGAACTAAATTGACTGATTGTCCAGACAATATTACTTAAGATCGAATTCACTGGTATATATTGTATGTAAAGTGAGGGTACCCAAATTGCACCTATTTTGACAGTTTTTTCACCTACGTTTATTTATGATCCAGACAAAAGTTTCCATTCTGGGTTTATTTTGTAGATGTATCCTTATTTACTATATAGTTCTACAAATTTAATTTTGAATCCATATTGAATCATAGAAAAATGGGTTTGAACCGACCTCCAAACGATCCATGATTCTGTAATGAGGATCGAGTACCCAAATTGCATTCATGCTTAAATTCGAATCCTTAAAATCGAATAACAGATGTTTTGTTTTATTTCTTCAAATATTTAGAACAATTTGACATTAGTTCATGCTTATTATTCATTTTTTAAGAAAAGAATGCTTGTAACATGTTTTATTTGCTAATTTTTAAAAGATGACTTTTTGTGGACGTCGCATGGCAACGCTTCCGTAGATTTTACTTTTTCCAGTGAATACTTCATCTGATGATATATACAGTGACAATTTTGTGCACATCTACATATATTTAGCTATGTTGAAAGACGTGCATAATGTCAAATCATAAAAATACAAATTGTTTAGTCTCTAAAAAAATCTTGTTTGATTTCCGCTGCTTTTTTTGCTAAATAGGTGCAATTTGGGTACTGTGATGTTATGTACATAATTATATAGTTTGCAAATTAATTTTTTTTATCAGTAAGAGCAGTATAATTGAAAAGATATGAGGTAGAAGAATCACTGTGAATTTTAAATATATACTTGAAATTTCTCTAAATTAATTTTAAATAAATTTGTAATCAACTTTCTTTTTATATTGTTCTATATTTTGTCATAAACAAAACAAACTTGTGCTAAAAAGGAACACTACAAGGATTCAGATAATTATGTTATTTTGTTTTAGAGCCAACATAAACTTGTGCAATAAAGGAACACAGTGGACACCACTTCATTGTGCTGCTTTCCAAGGTCATGGGAAGGTCATAATGAAATTGATGGATCATAACCCTGACATGACATTTAAGGACAGTCAAGGAAGGTCAGTTTATTTCACGCTGATGTCTGATGAGAGATACACCAGCTTTGCTAGTCATTCTCAATGAAAAGGAAAAAGAATGGATTAAGCAATAACAGAATTAATTACCATATGTCAAGAGTCAAATGAGTTTAATATAACACAACAGTTATTTTGAATTGTTTTTATACTGGTAAAACTATAATTTCAATCTATTAACTATAATTTGTTCCTCATATATTTGCATGCTTATACATTGTGACATGGATGGAGAGTTGTCTCATTGGCACTCATACCACATCTTCTTATTTATATTAATCTACATGATAACTCTTTTTTTCTGTCAACAGAATATTGAAGCTTTTTAAAAAAATCTTCTGTGATGAAACAGCTGTTTTAATCTTTTGAGAAAACTTTGTCATAATTTATACTGTACACTCAGGCATATTAAGCAATTGCTTTAATGTTATGGCGTATAGCCATCTTTGTGACCCAGATCAAGCTAAAGTTTTCTAGCAGATTCCTCATCTGTCATTCTAAAAATCCTCTGTATGTTTTCTAATGACATACATTCACATGACATTAATTGAAACAGTTAAAAAACAACAGTGGATTTGTGAAGTTTCAACATATGTTCTTGTAGATGTATTTTTGTATTTAAGGGGGCGACCGTTCCAATATCAAAGAACATAGAAGTCAGAGTGAAAAAGTGCATTTTTATACCTGGGATTTCGTTCTTGAAATGTTTCAACAAAATATCGAATCATGTCAGTTGTTGATTTAATATTGAAAATTTGACTAAATTATCTCTTATACGGTTTTATGTTGTTTAATTCATGTTTCTTTTTGAAAAAGGTCAAGTTGCTCTTGTTCATTCATGAAATTATCGTTCATTCATAAAATTATTGTAAAATCACTACGCACGCTATAGTAATGTAATCTTATCTCACATTATTTGTTTTGAAAAATAGCACAATTTGCGCGTTCTGATTACACTTACCATGTTTTTAATACTTCCTTGAAATTACGGGCCCTGTTATTTATTAAGGGTTTCAATAATTGCCGATTGATACTCCACTCTGTAAACAAATTATATTATAATCAACTGATCAAGGTTATTTCTCCAGACAGTGTATAATGTGTGATCAGTGTGTTTTCATTGGATGATTTAAAATAGATCTTACTAGCATTGACCATGCAGAAAATCGTCAAGTGTATTGACCATGTTGACGATGACTTCATGAAACTTTTAACTGAAAATTTCATTATTTTAAAAACTGTTGCATTAATTTTTGTATGCGATTATGTCATTATAGTAATGAAAGGGGTAAAGTGTAAGCCAGTTCCCAGGTTAATCGACAGTTAACATGCATTTCATGAAAATTTCAGAAGCCTGTCCCATCTTCAAATCTTTAATCGGTATATATGAATCATGTGAATGAATGATTCTTATTATAAATAACTATAGTTCGGTAGAACACTCACATCACTAAAGTTGAAATCATCAACTGAATGGTTAAATTTAAACCGATTATGATATAATTAGATTTAAATAAAAGCAATAAAGATAATGAAGCCAGGTGCATGGATTCAGTGTCATATAAATTATTGCCCAGTAATAAACACTCTACAAAGTGATAATCTATCATAAATTTTTTCGGGAGTTATACGTTTCCGCAAATATATTTGCCTCTACTATAAGCCGGGTAAACTTGTCGTCCCCCTGGGAAATGTAAAACATTATAAAAATGATTTTCTGCTGGATAAGTCTTTTATTGATATGAAGTTAAAACATCCTTACTTCTCACTAGATAAGACTCCTGTCAGGTTTGATTCTTTTACATGTGGATGAAAAATAAAAGTCACAAAAAAATTAACTAGGCAGCAATTGCTTTAACAGCCTTTAAAGGCTTTGATTAATTCAGGTGAGGTATTCAGGCTCCCAGGAGCCTCTACTTTGATTAAGGAAATGTCATGTAAATAATAGGTGAAATGAGGTGTTCATCATTGACATGGCAACCTATCAACACAATAAAACAAAAGAATAAATGTCAGAAATATTTTGCGATATCACTTATGGCTTTATAATAGGTTTTATGTTAAAATAGATTAACAGGTTACATGTATCAACAATTAAATGTACTCGTTTATTGTTTCAGGACAGCAGTTGATTTTGCATCAGCTTTAGACTCAATATGGCCATTTTTTGCTGGTAAGTTAAATCCGTGTTAAAATTAGCTAGACAAAGGATGTTGAAGTGATCTTGTTCAGCAATGCTTGTGTGAAGAAAAGCAAAGAGAACTAATTGAAGAGTATTTAGATACTGTCTACGAAGTTCTCATGGATGCCACCATTTTGATTTTCCCATTTGTTCTTTTCACTCATTGGAAAAATGTTGACTTTATATAATGTTTCTAGCAGTCAGTGTACTGTAGTTAATTGATTTGCTTTAGAAATGCACATTTCTAGCTTATCATCATTTTTATACCCCCGCCATAGTGAAGGGGGCATTAAGTGTTACCCTTGTCCATCCCGTCGGTCCGTCCCTCCCGTCCACCCCTACATCCCAAAAATATGTTCTCTTACTTTAGTTTGCCTTAACCAAATGTTATGAAACTTATACACAATACTTATTACCACAAAACACAGATCAAGTTCGAAATTGGGTGGTGTCACTTTTACTGTTTATGAGGTATTCCCCTTTATAAACATAAAAATTGCAGAATTTTTCTTTCTATTCTCTAACTTTAGTTTGCCTCAACCAAATGTTATGAAGCTTATGCACAATGCTTAAAATCACAAAAAGGTCTTAACTACGTGAATCCGGCATCTGTATGTGGAAGTTGACTCATGCATATTTACAAGTGGGGGCATCTGTGGCCCATAGACACATTCTCCATTTATTTATATTTAATTGGTAAAGCGTAGGGTTTTTATGACTATCTAGTTCTGTTTGAAATGCAATGAAAGAGGGATAAGATACCTAGGAGGCAATTATAAACCATAAGTAAAAGAAATGGACTGTAGCCATGGCACCATGGCCAAAAAAGATAAATAACCAAAAGACAAACACGTTCACAAAACACTACACAGAAACAAAACATTGAGCAACAGGGGTTTAAAACAGGTATACTTCATATATTTCGTAAATTTTTTGTTTTCATTTCTAAAGACTTAGTGTGCTTTATATATGGTAAATAGCTGTTTTAAATTGATATAGAAATGATACAATAATGTTAGCAAAGGGTGATCAAATAGTTTAAAGAAAGTAACATTCATGATATTAACCCAAAAAAATTGTAATTTTTCAAAATAGAAACAGGATAAAAAAATATTAAATCCATGATATTTACACGAGCTAAAATATGATTCTCTTAGTAAACTGGGTCTTACAGCAAAAGTGTACTTTACTTTGGTTCTGTTCTTACAGCAAAAGTGTACTTTACTTTGAGTTTATTCTTGCAGCAAAAATGTGCTATACTTTCAGTTTATTCTTACAGCAAAAATGTGCTTTACTTTGAGTTTATTCTTACAGCAAAAATGTGCTTTACTTTGCTTTTGTTCTTACAGCAAACGTGTACTTTACTTTGATTTTGTTCTTACAGCAAAAGTGTACTTTACTTTGATTTTGTGCTTACAGCAAAAGTGTACTTTACTTTGATTTTGTGCTTACAGCAAAAGTGTACGTTACTTTGATTTTGTGCTTACAGCAAACGTGTACTTTACTTTGATTTTGTGCTTACAGCAAAAGTGTATTTTACTTTGCTTTTGTTCTTACAGCAAACATGTACTTTACTTTGATTTTGTTCTTACAGCAAAAGTGTACTTTACTTTGATTTTGTGCTTACAGCAAACGTGTACTTTACTTTGATTTTGTTCTTACAGCAAAAGTGTACTTTACTTTGATTTTGTGCTTACAGCAAAAGTGTACTTTACTTTGATTTTGTGCTTACAGCAAAAGTGTACTTTACTTTGATTTTGTGCTTACAGCAAATGTGTACTTTACTTTGATTTTGTGCATACAGCAAAAGTGTATTTTACTTTGCTTTTGTTCTTACAGCAAAAGTGTACTTTACTTTGATTTTGTTCTTTTCAGCTGCAGGATGTAGACGTACTATGAAGTCAGAATTAATACAAATGGATATTGTTAAAAAGGTATTAATAGTTTATTGTATAAAATGTATGTAAAAAAAATAATATGTAGTACATGTTACCATAAACAAAAGCATTATATACACGAATATTATAAAACTCCCTACTGAAAATGAGTACGGGATTCCACTGGATTTCCAGTGAAATTACACTGGTATTCAGTGGAAAAAAATATCCCGATGGAATCCCATTAGAATTTCATCCAAAACATCTGGAATATTTTTCACACTGTAATTCCAATGGAAAATCAGTGAAATTTCCAATGAAACTTCCAAAGATTTTCCAATAAATTTCCAGTGGAATATTATTGTTTATATTTCAGTGGATTTTTGATTTAATGCAAATATTCCAGTGGAATTTTGGACTTAGAAATTTAAAGGAATATATACTTCTAATTCAAATTTTTCAAATAATTAAGTGCATGCATGATTATTATATAAAGGATTTAATTTGTAACATATGATTTGCTGGCCTGATAAGAAATTAAATATTATAATCATGATAATCATGATAATATATGGGATGTAATGAATATTTCATAAACCTACATATATACATGTATATGAAACATTTGTTCAAAAAAGTTACATGGTTAAACGTAATATGAAATCACTTGACACCCCCCCCCCCCCTATAAAATAAGTAAAATGGTAGCTCCTCAGATGTAGGGTGAATATAATGCATCACCATAAAGCCTATGAGTATGACACATTGAAAGGATACATTTTAACTATTAAGAAATAAAATTAAATGTGCAATAATATAAATAAATAAATGAATATTTTATATCAAATTGGGTTGAGAATAAGATTCTGTTTGATTTAACGAACAAAAACAATTAAGATTCTTTTTGAAAAATGTGCATGGCTCTTAAAAGGGCCGTTTTTAAACAGATCTGTTGCAGAAATTATCTTCAGTCTGTACGAATTGTTAGGATAACTCCGTTTTTTTCTTCAAGTGACCGTACTGGCAACTGCCCTGCACTACAGTCTACATGTATACAATAATATAATTATTATTTCTCCTTTGACTTCATCATGTTCATTAAATGTTACTGGTCTACTGTTCTTTTGAGAAAAATAAAGTGAACGGCTTTCATTTTCCACATTGTTCTATGAACTGTTTCGGTATCTTAACTTTGTCGGTGTGATGAATTTTTCATCATTTTCATGTCCTGAACTCGGCACTGGAACTCGGGTCATATAAGTTAATCTATAGAAACATTTCACTTAATCCCCTCCAATTAATTGTACGCTAAATGTCAGTGTTTTGGCATAATTTGAGCAGAAAATTCGTGAAACTGTAGTCTATAATGTTGTTTTTCAACACACATGTTTACATTCAAGGAGGCTGCCATTTTTTTTTCTACCAGACTATAAATATAACCGCTGATTTGATTGGATAACTCAATTTCCGGGATTTCCGATCGGCCAATCAGATCGTCGTTATCATTAATACACGGAATGTGTTCAAATTTGAAACTAAAAATATTGTACGAGCATGTATCCTGTCCAGCTGTGGTTACATTAATCATGTTAATAATTATTAATACTCAACAACCTTCGATAAATAAAGAAATAGACATTAAAGGCAGAACATTTAGGCATGACATTAGCTGTTGAACCAAGAATTTACGATGAGACGATGTGCTGATGTAGGGCAGACGTACAGCAGATACAGGTAATTTTTAAGAGATTTTACATTTGATCATGAATATTTTTAATAAAAATTTAAAAAAAGATATACACCCCCTTTAGTTTCATTCATAGGCTCCGTTAGTTCATACTTTGAGGATGACCATTTGGTGTTCTGAAAAGGGGGAGGTGGGAATGTAATAATAATTTTATTATTCAATATTCAATTACATTGTGTGCCTTCACAATCAAGGAAAGATGTTTACTACACAATTTCCGGCACATTCAACTTAATTTTGTCATGTTCTGATTTGGATGGACATGCAACACAAAAATTCCCTAAAGGTTAATATTGTGTTTTAGAATCTTTTATACTTAAATGAAAGAAGCTTCTTAATTATATATGTACATTGTATGATAAATATCAGTAATATATGATGCATACAGGTCATGACCAGAACTAAAAATTATTAATAAAATGTCTTTACATATTTTTTTTAGAATGTCCATATATATTAAAAGGGATTGTTCATGGTGAAGGTACAAAGCTGCAAAAATGATGACTGTGCATCGATCAATACCCAATCAATAATATGAAAACACGATGAAAACAAACGAATCAGCAGCAGAAAAGAAATTTGAGTATAAGATTATTGAAAGGTATATATATACTTATTGAATTATTTTTTCATCCTTCCCACACTTGAAATAAAAATACATTAATCATTCACATCTATAAGCTGTAAATACAGATAGTAAACCAACAACAAACACAACACAAAGGGAAAGATAATATGAGGCTAAATAAAAATATATCCATGGTTCCAATTACCTTACCTACCTTTTTTTTAGTCTTAACAATAGCCTACCCTAAAGATTTTTTTGTCATTTTTCAGTAAGCACTGTTTAAGTCAGAATGTTGCTCCCATAGACTCAATGTAAAAAAAAGCCATAAAATAAAAAAAATCCTTACCTATACCTATCCTAATTTTTTTTTAAATGTAACTGGAACCACACATACTATTTTATTTGGCCTCTGAGAGACACCTGATCCATGAACTATAAAAGTCTATTTTGATAAAAAGAGATGTGTGTTATAAGTCTAAGAGACAGCAACCCAACAACTATAGCCAAAGATATGTAGAGAACACATAGTCTTCAACAATAGACATACATGTGTCTAAATTGCTCTTAGTGTATAAATGTTGTGAATAAATTAAACAAACACAAAATAAATATGCCAGTAACATATATTTTTGAATAATTGCAGACTGGAGCATGGTATTGTAATGTTATTTCAATTCAAAATTCTATGCATGTTATGATGTATGATTTTTTTTCTTTCAGATTAATCAATGAACATGATGAAGACTTAATGGAACAGGATTGGAATGCAGAAACTTTGGACTTAATTCATGAATAACATCAATGGATGATGAAGAAAACTGAACAAACTGACAAAGTATTTCGTATGCATGTAAACTGGACATTTTTGTTTGTTTAATGCACAATAAACAAATTTGTAAAATTGAAAATTAAAACATTTGTGAAAGATTTCAAGAGGACCAAAAGTTACCATGGACTTATGAATGATTTAACCAGAAAAATGATTTACATGTACAATTAAGTAAATACATCTTTGACTAAAAAATGATAATTTATCAACATTAATATTTTAAAGAGGTTGATCTTTTCATTTAAAAGGTCTTAAATGTGGATAATGTATAAACTGTTGTAATTTCTTTAATTGTTGACTTGCATTAAAATGGTTATTGTCTTATTTCAAGTTTTCTTATTAATTCATTCAAAAATAAGCAGTGCATGCAAAATGATATTTACATTTCAGTGGAAATGTCAATTTCCATTGAAATATCATTGGTTTTCTTTGGTTGATTGTTACAACTTCCAATGGAATTACCACTGGTATCCCAGTTGAAAACAATAAATGTCCAGTGGGAAAACAATGGTATTCCAACGAAGTTTTCGCTGGTATTCCAATGGAATTTCCACTGTATTCCACTCGAGTATTCACCGGAATCCCACTGGATATTCCACTGATATCCCAATGGAAAACAATGAATGTCCAATGAAAATCCCGACCAAATTTCCCAGTGGTAATACAGTGGTATTCCAATGGAACTCTGATGAAACTCCACTGGTATTTTCAGTGAAATCCCACTTTACATTTTCAGTAGGGAGCTAACTTTGAGTTCAGCATGTGGTCTTGGAACTATTACCATAATCCCACATCAAATGGCTAATTAGGAAAGCACTGATAAGGTTGAATTAAAAAGATGTATATTCACTCTAAACCTAAACTTTTCTTTATTATGGAACAAACTAAATATAAAAAGAACATTTTGTGAAATTAAAAACTATTGAACATCTGATTACTGTATTTGAATAGGCTCAGCTGAATATGATAGATTTTACTGGATATGATAAACTAGTGTTTGTATTTTCTCATGCTTTTGTTTAACAAATTTTGATGTACCCCCTGGTATTGTTGAATCCAGTTTTGATAAATATGACCGTTGAATTGGTTCGTTTAAATGTTTATATAAAATATGCATGCAAGAACTGAAACATGAAAATATTTTTGATAAAAAAGAGTCGTTGTTACAAAAATGTCAGTTGCATATTTATGCTTTGATATACTGTTCAGTGGTAAACATTTAACTGATATTTGCAGCTTAGCCAAGATGATCCTTCAATTGCTGTTATTCCAAGATCAGATTTTGCTCATTTCTCACGACCAGGGTCTGCTTATGTCATGAGATCTCAGCCAATGAATGGACCAAGTACAGACAAATATAAGGTAACAATGAGTTAATAGAAAGAGAAACACGTGATTTATTTGTGTATTCGTTCTCCACTTCAAATGTTACTGGGTGAACATTTACTGTTGCTTATCTTATATATATAAATAAATGTCTACTATTTAGTTTGGCTACTAAGTGAATATAAACATGTACCTAATTAATCTATGATATCTGGTGTATGGAATGATTGTAAGGTGTGTACATGGCAGGTTTAAGGATGTTCTATGGAACGCCACAGCTGTCTTATGTGGAACTCTGATATTACTTTATGTTGTTTTATTATTACTTGATGATATTTTGTCTTTACTTAATATGGTTTTGACATTACGTAATGATGTTTTGATATAACTCAATATGGAATAGTCATTACTTAATGATATTTCGATATTACACGATATGGTTTTGTATTGACTTTATATAGTTTTGTCATTACTCAATATGGTTTTGTCATTACTCGATGTGGTTTCGCCATTATTTAATGTGGTTGTGTCATTAGTCAATGTGGTTTTAACATTACTTGATGTGAATGTGACTTAACGTTATGTAGTTGTTTCATTACATGATGTGGTTTTGTTATTTCGTAATGATGATTTGCCTATTCTTTATATGGTTTTAACATTACGCAATGATGTTTCAAAATTTGACGATTTTACACTACATGATGTGTTTGTTTCATTATTTGATGTGGTCCTGTCATTCTTTGATGTGGTTATCCCATTACTTGATGAGGTAAAACCACGTGACCAATTCGGAAAAAAATATGTTCTATTTTTAAACAGATTTCAATATATCGTTTGTTTAATGTGCTTTGGATGGGTATCGCTATCCATTGAGTTAAAGTTCAAATTAAAGTTCGAGTGGTTGTTCAGAGTTATTTGGTATGAAAAAGGGGAACGGCTGACAATAATAAGAAAAAAAGTATTAAAAAGTTTACAGTATTTCGGACATAATTGGGATATCCCCAAACCACTTGGTCCTGTTGTTTTTATCCTAAGTTCTCAAACGGAAGCAGTATTTTTGTAATAAATTTGTAAAATATTCCACGGAACCATGTGTCTCGCCTGATATTGCTGCTGTAAGTGTAAAAGCGTCATGTTGATCGACTGTACATTTATCTATACATTTATCGGTAAAAACAAAATTAAAAAAAAATGTTTTTCTGTAGATGCTTTTTCTTGAAATTGAGAAATAACTCCTATACAAGTTTTAAAACACTTCATTGAGGTTTACAAATTTATCATGTCAAAACAGTTTAATTCGGTTTTATTTAACTAAAACAAAACTGTATGGTTTTCAACAATGAGCAAAACCCATACCCTATAGTAAGCTATAAAAGGTCCCGAAATGAAAAATGTAAAAAACTAGAAACCTAAAGATCTATAGATACATAGATACTTTATTCTCTAAAAACTAAATACAAGTTTACAGAGAAACATACAATATAAATACCGATACAAAAGTCGAGGTAAACAAATACAGTATGATATTCTAAAAGTACAAAATTATGATGGCATACATGTTTAGTAACATGTATAATGAAAGGTTAAACTCAATAGAAATAATAAAATGGAGATGGAGACGCCGACGCCACTATCGAGCACGAAATATAGGTTTGTTGTGTCTCACTGCCGCTACATTGATGTCGCAGGCTCGACACAAATCAAAAGACTTGAACTTTATTGTTAACAAATGAAACACTTCAAATCAACTCACACTAAAGTTACAGGGAAACGGGGAAAGAAGGGGCTCGGACTAAGCGACAAAGCATCAATACTATAAAATAAGAATTCTCCGAATTTTTTTTTAGCGTAAATGATCATTTGAACTTATACGAATATCAATCTTTTATTTGTAATCAATTGAATACCCTGATCTACCTCGCACTAATTGAAAAATAAAATTTTTGGAATATCTATTTCACATGTGACGATGGACATGTTCCAGTGGTCGTAACCATAATACCGTCATCTTTTCCTTGAATGTAAACTTCCAAATAAAATCAAATCACTGGGTTTGTACTTTCTCGAATAACACGACGGGTGCCTTTCTGGAGCATCCGAGATCACCCCGATGGATTTATATTACCCAGTCATACCGATCTATTGTATCAGCCAAATGAAACTGTTTTGTATGCCATCGCAACTGAAAGCTGGGGGGGGCATATTGTTTTACCCCTGTCCGTCCGTCCGTCTGTCTGTCCTTCCCATTATGGTTATATAGTTATTCCGCATAACATAACTCCTCCTACAGTTTGAATCCTAGGAAGTTTTCTCTTTACTGTCTGTTTGTACATATACTGAAGGTGTGCATGTGGTCAGGGTTTAATGTTTATTAATATTTGCTTTTTTGGGAGATAGTTGAACTTTGTAATTTTTTGGGAAATTTACTTGCATAAGAAGAGCGTTTCCAGATAACTTCTCCTACAGTTTGAGGGCTAGGAAGTTTTCACTCTGCTGGCTGTTTGTACATATATTGTAGGTGTGCATGTGGTCAGGTTTTTTTTATTTTTATTATCTTTTGCTCTTTTTGGGAGACAATTGAACTTGTTTTTGTCATTTTTGGGGTATAAGTGGTTAAATGAGTTGAGTGCGGGGGCATCACTTTGTCTAGTTTACATTTTTTTTCTCGTGTTGTGCTGTTACACAACTGTAACAGTCCTATGTAAGGTTAGGATTTAGCGCTCACATACATGTTAAACTCCGCCACGTGCACTTTCTTTATGTACCTGCCCCAAGTCAGGAGCATGAAGTTCAATTGTTGTCGTTGTATAAATGTGTGTCATTTTTTTTTGTAGATTGTTTATTTATAAAAAAGACCGTTTGTTTTTTCGTTTGAATTTTTTCACATGGTGCATGGTGGCCTTTTGTAGCTGACTAAACGGTGTATTGAAGGCTGTGCGGTTGCCTATATATGATTTCTTACATCCACTGCATTTAAACTCTGGTGGATAGTTGTCTCATTGTCAATCACACCACATCTAGCTTTATTTCAACTTCTATGTTGCGTTTTGTATACTGTAACATTGTTTATCTTTTGTAGGCATAACCAGGAGCCCTCTTTTCGGAAGCCCGAGCAAAAGTCCTTGTTCTGCGATAGAAAATTTAATTACGAACCCATATAAGATAGCTCGAATTTCAACTCATAATCATAATTAATCTAAATGAGACTTAAATTCGAATCTTACTCAAACTCTACCTCAAAAAGTGACTCAAATTTAATGTTGTAACTAGACCTCTACCTTTAAATGTGACTCAAACTCGAAGTCCAACTCGAAACTCAATGCTAACTAAAACTTTAATTCTAATAATGACTTGAATTCGAAATCGAAGACTAACTCAATGTTTAACTCAAACAGTAACCCGAACTCAAATTCGATGGATGGCAACACTCATCCAAGGCACATACAACTGGGAATCTATCTAAAAATAGAACAGGTTTTTCCGAATTGGTCACGTGATTTTACCTCATCAAGTAATTGGATAACCACATCAAAGAATGACAGGACCACATCAAATAATGAAACAAACACATCATGTAGTGTAAAATCGTCAAATTTTGAAACATCATTACGTAATGTTAAAACCATATAAAGAATAGGCAAATCATCATTACAAAATAACAAAACCACATCATGTAATGAAACAACTACATAACGTTAAGTCACATTCACATCAAGTAATGTTAAAACCACATTGACTAATGACACAACCACATTAAATAATGGTGAAACCACATCGAGTAATGACAAAACCATATTGAGTAATGACAAAACTATATCAAGTCAATACGAAACCATATCGTGTAATATCGAAATATCATTAAGTAATGACTATTCCATATTGAGTTATATCAAAACATCATTACGTAATGTCAAAACCATATTAAGTAAAGACAAAATATCATCAAGTAATAATAAAACAACATAAAGTAATATCAGAGTTTCACATAAGACAGCTGTGGCGTTCCATAATGTTCGCTTGTCATGTTTTGGAATTTTTGTCAGATTTTCAGAATCCTCTGGTTTTATCCATTTGAATGCCTTAAAAAATTTTGCCCACTAACCCCCATTTTTCTTTTTATAAATCTTTTACATGTATAATTATACGCCATCTGTAAAAGTCTTATAAAATCTTTGTTATTTTTTAATAGTTTTTGACAACTTAAACTTGTCAATGATAAAGCTATGAAAAATCAAGAGAGAACATTTTCACGCCAAAATTTCAATGGCTAATATCTCGAAAACAAGCACACGGACCTATCTATTTTTTTCGCTCTTTTGGTTCCTTTATTAATCCCCTATCAATATATACTAGTGTTATTAAAAGCTTGTTATTTTGAAACTGAGTAGCGAACTTCCTTAATCCAATCTTGACCTCATTTTCATGGTTTAGTGATCAGTGTTAGGTGTTTGTGTATTGGTCTTTTTCTCAGATACCATAAGTAACAGGTCAACTGTATTTGATGAATGGAATGATTTTGTAAGGTGTACATGGCAGAGTTCATCTGACCTTGACCTCATTTTTCATAAATCATTGAATCAATCACAATAAATAAGCAGGCAAGACATTTCAGTGTGTGCTCTCTTGTCATGCAGACATTTTTTTATACCACTGCTCCAAAGGAGATGTTTATACTGTTTTGACCTCTGTCCATCCATCCTTATTACAGACTGTCCCATGAAATTCTGTTGCATTTTTCTCAAGAACTACAAATCAGAGCTTCCTGATCTTTGTTATCAGTCTTCATGTTGACATGCTATACAGTGTGGAGCACTTCTAGATTCATCAATTCTCAACTACCTACCAAATACTTCTATATTCTAACACAATGCCATGTATCAAATTTTCATCACATTTTCTAGGGAACTACAAATAACAGACTTCTGATTGTTTTTATCATGCTTTTTGTGAGTATGTTATACGGTGTGATGCATTTTCAGATCCATTGATTATCAACTTCCTATTTACTGATTTCCTATATATTCAAACACATAATG